TGTTCCAGCTTGTCGATATCCTTGTTAAATTGAGGTGCCCAGAACCCGTCATAGAACTCCAGGTGTGGTTCACAACTGCACAGATCTGGAGATACAGAGTGGGGATCCGTGGCTAGCCTGGAGATTCTGGGGGCTAGATCCACAGGGGTACCAGTTGCCTATGGTTGTCCAAGAACAGAATCTATGGAGCACAGAAACGTTGGCCTCCATTAACAATCACGGGGCTGTGTTGCTGAGGGAAAACATTCTCTCCCTAATCTAGAAGTGAAATATCTGTAAGCTAGAAAGAAAGTTAGGCCTCTTAGCTTCTGTGGGTTTGTTGGGTTAGGAGTCAACACAGAGATGTTTCTATGCTAATGAAAAGAGCAGGTAATTCAGTGAGCAAATGTGTTTTCTTTCTTTCTTTTAATAATATTTTTGTTAGTTTTCAATTACAATCCAATAATAGCCTCATTATAACAATACCAATTGGTACAGTGGTACCACCATTTACGTCCACCCTGTCTTCTGCCTATTGTGGTGAACGGGTTACTTCTGGGTTTGCTGCTTGCGCATGCACAGAAGCGCTAAATCGCGCTTCGCGCATGTGCACAATTACAAAAATGCTCTGCACACATGCACAGAGCGGTGCTTTGTTGAGCGTCACTTTTGCCGAGTGTCCGGGCCTCCAGAACAGATCCTGGACTCAAAATGAGGTACCACTGTATACAATTATTATTACCAATCGTTCAAATACAGAATTAGATAATTTAGATAAAATGGGCCCCCGCTTGCTAGAATTGGTGGCTTGATTATTTGCTTTATTTCTGTGTTCCAAAATCTTATTCATTTCCATTACATTCCAGTCATAATAATAATCCCTTATACAACAACTCCAATATTAATAACTTCTATTTGTGTTGACACATTAAATGATTTATAAAACTACAAGTGAGGAACTCAGACTATTTCCTTGTTCTTCCTGTGCGTGGCAATTATTCTGTCCATGGCGTTTCTTCCTGTCCTTGTAAGATGTTATGTCTTTCTGTCCCCCGGTTGTTATTGTTCTCCATCATGCCTTGGGCAGAGCTGATATCCCATTGTTCCAGAAAATTCTGCATCGCTCCATCCCATACTTCATTGTTTTGCAACTTTAACAACAGCTGCAAAAGTTACTCTGTCCCAAGAAATAATCTGATGTCACCATTTTTCTTCTCGGCCTGGGAAGAAGAGTGGTCTTTCAAACTGCTGATGACTCAATAAAGAACCTTATCAGTTCCTTGGCAAGTTCACAGACTCCTTTCATCCTGCCTTCCAACTGAAGATATATGAGCAATTATACTTCCAATTAAATTAAATTCAAAGTCCTCAGCGTTATTCAGTTCACTCCATAAATAATAAACAATGGGGAAGAGTCAGCTCTACAATCACACATTGGTTTTCAAACAGCTTAGTTCTCAAACTTTTTGACTCCTGAATGCTGCAAACCTGGAAGTGACTGTTCCGGTTTGCGAACTATGTATTTTTGGAAGCCGAACATCTGATGGGGCTTCCGCAGCTTCTGATTGGCTGCAGGAGCTTCCTGCAGCCAATCAGAAGCTGCACTTTGGTTTCCGAACGTTTTGGAAGTCAAATGGACTTCCGGAACGGATTCCGTTCGATTTCCAAGGTACGACTGTAATGTGTTTTCTCCCCATCCTCTGCACATGGTGGACACTAACAAACACAGAACATCGTCTTCTCCTCCACTGACTGAATCCACCAGGCATAATTTCTGCCACTTTGGAGATGCCGAGGAAATGAAACCCTTACCCTGCTGCCTCGGTTTCCCCACCCCCAGATACCAAAGGGTTGCGTGCCTTCATGTGTTGCCCTACTTTGTTTAGGTTCCTTGTGTCAATAATGTGCCTCCCAGCAGAACACTGACAAATCCCTGCTTGGAGCGCTTAGGGGATCTCCCTCAGCAGGTCAACAAGGTCAGAGCGCTGGGAATTCCTCCAAGCAGAGGGGTTGGGTAGCTCACCCACGTTGACAGAGCAGGTTTGCTAGCGGTGCAGAAACGGCAGCCTGTCGCATCTGTCACGAACGTGGGGAAATCGCTTGGGTAAGGCTGGCCGGCTGTCGGGAATGGTATAAGATCCCTGAGCCCAGGTAGCTGGCAGCATTACCACACCGGTTCGCTGCATGAGGAAGGTAAGCATCCATTTTCCAATTAGATAGCATAGGGGAATGGCTCTTGCGGGCTTTGGTGATGGGATTGCACAGAGAGCACTGTGCATAGTGGTGCCCTCTTCATCTCTCTCCTCCCCTAAAAGAGGACAGGCTATTCTCCCCAGGGCTACTGCACTCACCATGAGTTCAGTCCTAAATGATTTTGTAAACTCCCTATTTTCTGGTTCTAAGTCTCCTCTGCATCTCACCCTTGTTGTTTAGTCGTTTAGTCTCAGTATGCCCTGAGATTTTCGGACAAGCGGCAATTGATTGATTGATTAGATTTCAGAGGAGCCTTGATTAGATTAGATTTCAGATTAGATTGATTGATTAGATTTCAGAGGAGAACCTTCACATGAACTGAAAACGACAGCCCCAAGGAACTGTCCAAGTCCCTCAACTTCCCAATACATCTCCACCCCCGCTGTAAAAAAGTTATCAAATGGGGATAAATATGAGATAATTAAAATAAAACATGTAATATTATCATTCAAAACCTATCTGTTGGTTCTGCTGCATAAGCATAGGCGTGCCTTTAAAAACATTTTGTTGTTCTTTAGTCGTTTAGTCGTGTCCGACTTTTCTTGACCCCATGGACCAGAGCACGCCAGGCACTCCTGTCTTCCACTGCCTCCCGCAGTTTGGTCAAACTCATGTTAGTAGCCTTGAGAACACTGTCCAACCATCTCGTCCTCTGTCATCCCCTTCTCCTTGTGCCCTCCATCTTTCCCAACATCAGGGTGTTTTCTAGGGAGTCTTCTCTTCTCATGAGGTGGCCAAAGTCTTGGAGCCTCAGCTTCAGGATCTGTCCTTCCAGTGAGCACTCAGGGCTGATTTCCTTCAGAATGGATACGTTTGATCTTCTTGCAGTCCATGGGACTCTCAAGAGTCTCCTCCAGCACCATAATTCAAAAGCATCAATTCTTCGGCAATCAGCCTTCTTCATGGTCCAACTCTCGCTTCCATACATCACTACTGGGAAAACCATAGCTTTAACTATATCAGGGGTCTGCAACCTTTAAGACAAAAAGAGCCACTTGGACCTGTTTCCGAAGGGAAAAAAACTGGGAGCCGCAAAATCATTATGACATTTAAAACAAATATAACACTGCATATATTGTTTCTTACCTTAATGTCCGATCTGACAGCGGGCGGGAAGGTGACGTCGGGACGGTGTGTGACTATCGCACGCACCGCCTCCATGCGACGTCACAGCCAGTACAGCGCCCGCCACAGTGGGGAGTGTCGGGGCGCACAATGCGCCTCCTCCCCTCGCTAGTATCCGCCCCGGAGCCGCGGCAAAGGTGTAAAAGAGCCACATGCAGCTCCGGAGCCGCGGGTTGCAGACCCCTGAACTATATGGACCTTTGTTGGCAAGGTGATGTCTCTGCTTTTTAAGATGCTGTCTAGGTTTGTCATTGCTGTATCTCACCCTAGCTGTGCCAAAACTGTTGTGATTCCAGGGATTTTATGCCCTTGAGTGAAATGGCTGCGGAGAGGAGAATCCCTGTAGGAGGAGTTTTCCAGGGCAGCACTGAATAGCTTTTCTCTGTTGTGTTTAGGAAGCTGAAATGTAGAATTACAAAATTCTTCCTTTTACAAATAGAAAACCCATAGGGGCTACTGTGGTGGAAAGGAAGCTATGCTGAAATGCTGCTTCCTAACCTCTGGAAACCCTACAAAGACATGACTAATTCCACTGCTATAGAAGCCTGCTGGGTGCTGTAATAAGCAGAGAAATGCTGCAGTTACTTGCCCAAAGGAATGTTATTTCTGGATTCAACTGACAAGAACAAGGATGAGAGGGATCAGGAATATACGAGTAATCTGGATAGGGAGACAGGTTTTACTAAAGAAGCGAGGAAAGTGGAATTCTGGTTTCCAAACTTACAGAAGAAAGAAGGCTTCAGTGTTTGTCACCTGTGTTCTATCATCATGAGGACTACAATCCTGAAATAGCAACTGGATTCTGCATCAGAGGCCATTTGCTGCAGATTCTGAGATATACACCCTTGCCTGTGCCATGGCTTTCATCAGAAGGGGCGCATTTTTTTTGGTGATGTTCTAAGCTTTGATCTAACCACACTATCTTTGCTGAATTTTGGGGTGGGTGGGTAGGAGGAATAATGGCCAAGCCCCTCTTGCAAAGGGAGGAGGAAAATGAAGTTGTTGTGCAATGAGCAAGTTGTTAATAATTGTTTATATTCTGCTGGGAGAGGCCCAGAGTGTCTGGGAAAACCCAGCCAGATGGGTAGGGAATTAATAATAATAATTAATTAAAAAAAATTAGTGGGTTGTGATACCTAGGTCCAGATTAAGATGTGTAGGATGAAGGACAGAAGTGTCGTTTTTTGCGCTTGTCTAGCTTCTGAAAATAAAAGCCAGTCTGGGAGTGGGAACATTACCTGGCAGAAGCAGGTATCTGGAAGGACACTTGGTACAACATTAAGACTACATATCCTTCCAAGAAAAGAGGGATTCTTCCCATCAGGAAGGAATCACCCCAGCCTAAAAATGATTTAGCAGCAAGTCTGAACACACACACACACACACACACACACACACACACACACACACTGCCCACTTCCCTTTTGTGAGGAAACAGCTGGTCTCCCACCCTGTTCAATCCTAGCTAAATCATTTGATTTCACCAGATACGGTACATGCCTTTCCAAGAATAAACAAAGTTCTCTGTTATCTATCTGAGGGGTCATTTTGTAACTCTGTGAACTTTCCTCCCTCATAACCCGAGTGGGTATGCTTGTTTGCCTCCTTGAATGTGCAGAAGGCAGCATGACTCATGCCAAGGGCTGAGTCAAACAGTTGCTGGGCATGCAGCAACTACTTCGCTCCTGCACAAACCAGCTCCTTTTCTGCAGGCTGCTGGTTTCGAGCAACAAAATTACGGTAGGTACCTGTCTCACTTCACACTGATTTTTAAGTCGTTTGCAGTGCTGTCATCAAAAACTCTTAATTCAAAGCCATTGGTGGCGCCTGCAAGAGACTAGCTGGTTGTAGGCAGAGTTGACACATGTCTACGCACAATTTTCAATCAGTTTTCTAGTGGCTATGATTGCACCCAGTTGGCCCCAATTAATTAAAAAATGTCAAGTTCCACTCACTGTGTCTTTCTCCTCCAAAGAAAGAGAGAAAGAATTTAGGCTGGACTGCCTATCCAGCTGCTGCTTCTTCTATTAATTAACTAATTGATTAAATTTATATTCTGGAATCAGTAAGGGTCTGGTAGAAGGGCTCCTTCTTCCATGTGTTTCCGTCAAGTTTGTTTCAGGGTTGATCTGCACATTCCCTGCATCTTCAGACTATAGGCAATTCATCATAGCTGCAATACTGGGTGCCTCAGGGGTGCAGGTGGCGCTGTGGTCTAAACCACTGAGCCTCTTGGGCTTGCCGATCAGGTTGGCGGTTTGAATCCCCGTGACGGGGTGAGCTTCCGTTGCTCTATCCCAGCTCTTGCCAACCTAGCAGTTCAAAAGCATGCCAGCATGAGTAGATAAATAGGCACCACTGCAGCAGGAAGGTAAATGGCTTTCCATGCACTCTGGTTTCCATCATGGTGTTCTGTTGCGCCAGAAGCGGTTTAGTCCTGCTGGCCACATGACCCGGAAAGCTGTCTGTGGACAAACACTGGCTCCCTTGGCCTGAAAGCAAGATGAGCGCTGCAACTCCATAGTCGCCTTTGACTGGACATAACTGTCCAGGGGTCCTTTACCTTTACCTTTTACTGGGTGCCTGTTTGCTGCTGTTCAGCAAGCCCAGCAAGGTCCAAACTGACAGTTCCCTGAACAAAAATATGCTCCATTGCATGTTCTGAGCAAGCCAAGCTGATGTAATACTTGCACCACAATCCTAACTGCATCTACGTGGAAGTAAGTCCCCCTGAGGGATGATAGGGCTTACTCCCAGGTAAGTGGGGCTAGTCCCTAGACCTGTATGCACTTATCTGGGAGTGAGGCCTATTTAACTCAATGGGATTCTTTTCTGGGCAGACATGTATATGATTGCGGTGGTAACTCAAATGCAGTGTTACATCTGGAGAAAGTTTGGATGTGTATGTCACTGAGGAGTAATAAGAGAAAAAAATATGTGTTGGTCAGCTGCATTCATGGACAGCTGTTGTTGCAAGGCACTTTTCAAGGAAAAGTCAAACACATGGTGCATTGCACTAATCTAATCCGGAAGTCACCAAGGTTATGTGTGACCTCATAGCAAGATCTTTCATATCCAGGAAAGAACGCTGTCTGTCACAGCTGCCTCCTGAATACCCTGAACAAAAGCCAGGTTCAAAAATAAGCTATGCACTTGACCGTTCTTTCACTAATAAAATACAATGGAAAGTTTTTTTAACAGTTCCAAGAACATTCTGCACACGTGTGTATCTCTGGACAGCTTCCTAGGTATTTGCAGATCAATTGCAGCAGAACAGGGTACCCAAAAAAATCAGAACTTGTGGAACATCAGCATTTGCTTTGCAACACCATTCGAGGGTCCTTAAAAAGCCACTTTCTACAGAGCTTCTCAAGTGAAGAGGTGAAATTTGCATGTTCTGAAGACAGGCTTTGCCATTCAGGATGATGGGGGGGGGTATGAGCTGGGGATGTTGTGAACCACTGCCTTTCCTCATTGGCTCCAGCTCACATTCAGCAGTCCAGCCCCTTGACATTTATTTGTTTCTCCCCTCCACGCCTCATTGCTTCAGGTGCCAGCTGGCTCCACAATCAAAGGCTGCACTTCACCCAGCAGACGAGATGTTGCTACCATGGCTGAGCCTCATACCTGTGCTTTTCTGTGTCTCCGCGGACAGTACAGGTAAGACCCAACCAATATGCACCCAGCGCTGCGCCAGCTCTGTTCTCCCAAAGCCTCTGGGATGAGAAACAAATGAGTTTGAGAAGGACAGAAGGGAATGGGCAGGGGCCTGAATTCTGTTTGAAATCACAGGTGCCCAGGGAATCCGCTTCTAGCCCTGCCGCAAAACTTCCACTATTCTTGTATGCTTTTGCCGGATGAATAACCAGAAAGCCTCGTGAGCGCTATTTATTTCTGTTTTAATTCTCTCTCTTCACAAAGGGCATGTTCTGATAGACCTAATATGAGTCAGCCAATATGGGTACCAACAGCTGACTTGCATTAGCTGAGCAGTGTGTTAATTTTACAGTCCTGGCATCGGTTGCCAAAGGGCAGCCCAGTTCATTCAGGTGTAGGCTACAATCCTGTACCTACTTACCTGGTGGTTGCCTGATTTTCCTTTGTGCCAGCCCAGCCCTTGCCACCAACTGATTTTCCTCTGTGCCAGCCCAGCCCTTGCCACCAACACCTCCAGGCGGGTGGGCACAGAGCCTATGCACCAGCCCAGCCCTTGCCACCAGAGCCAAGCTGGGTGCACTGTGCCATCTGCCTGCCTGTGGAGGGAGGAGACCAGCCGTCAACACAGCCCTTGATGAGTGAATACCCCAATGCTGGCTGAGCAGCCATTCAGTGAGAGACCCCCTTGCCTGGGGGCACCTGGTTTGCGCCCCCTGAAAATTGTGTGCCCGGGGCTATGCCCCCTGACCCCCATGCCACTTTCCCCACAGAAACCTGCTCTTTAACATCTGCTTTCTCCTGTCTGCTTGCTCGCTCCAATTGTGATATTTCAATCCTGCCCTTTCCAGATTATTCGACATTGCACATGGACTCTGTGACTGGAGTTTTGGAAGACTTTGAATCCCAGCTGAGAGGGACCCCAGACCAGACTGTGACAGAGCTTTTCCGGGAGCTGGAGTGTTGCAAGGGCGAGCTCTGCCAGCTTCTCCTCGGCCCGGTGACTTCGGCGCCCTCAGACGTGTCTTATTTGAGTGAGCAGCAGAGCATTTTCCTCAAAAACCTGGTGAACCACGAGGTTGACGCCTCCTTGGTAGAACATGGGGTGGTCTTGACTCCTGATGGGACTACAGTTTCGCTCAGTCCCCTTCTTGCTGGGATAGCTGTAGGGCTCCAGAGGAGCCATAAGGAGACTCTGCATGCCACACCTTTGATCGCCAACTCCACCAATAGTTCTGTGGTAGAGCTACCCCTTACTCTGGAGCCCCTCTTCGCCACAACAATCGCCATGGACCTCGGCAAAGCCTTTCTCCTCTTTCACACCAACCGAAGCCAGGTGGCCCTGGGACCAGACGGCTGCTGGGACAGCATCTCTGCACCTCAGAAATTCACCTTGATGGGGGCTCCCTCGACTCTTCCAGATGCTTTCATCAATGGTGCAATGGATGGCCTCATTCTTGGTACTTACTTGGCAGAGAAAGCAGATCCGCCATCCAACCTCAGTGTCCTGCTGAAGGATTATTATGGTGGAGAGGGCCTAGGAGGTGAAAGTGCGATGCAGAGCAACTTCCGACGAAAGAACTTTGCAGCTCTGGTGAGCGAGGAAAAGCTGAGGATGCAAGTAGAGGATTCTCTCCTCCTGCTCCGGAGGCTGAATGAAAGCAACCCCTTGTTTGATGGCCTCACAAATGAAGAACTGAGATCTGTCGCAAACCAGGCTGTAGAAGAATTCACGGCTTTGTATGTAGGTATGGATCACATGTGGAAAACCATATCTCCAGAACGGATTTATTCCTGTCTCCTGTGTACTTAGGCTGGAGAACTACACTGGCAAAATTAAAAGAAGGGCACATTTTGAAGGATGGGTGCGCTTTAGTTCTCAGATTGTTTCGAAAAGGGCAATACAGTCAGCTGTAAATGCACACTGAATCAAATCCCCTCCCACATCCCTTGTTAGAGGTCCTTAAATGTAAATATACTTCTCCCTACTAGTTCTCTGTTTGACTCCTACCCTATTCCATCCTAAACAAGAGATCCTCTTACTACATAGATGGGATGCTGCCCACATGTACGTCTTTTCAAAGCCCACGGGGTTCATTTATTTAACATAATCACATCCCACTTTTCTGCTAAGACGTTTGGGGCAAATTACACAGACTCTCATTTTGTGGAGGGGAAGGGGAAGGGTAGAGGACATGGATCTCACTGCAGACCCAGGAAAAAAAGAAGTTGGAAGGACCCCCCCACTCACATTTCTTCCTCCCCCCTGCATTTCTGCAGAGCACACCTTCCTCCAACGTGAGCAACTGGGAGCAGGCCTTTCCTCCCCCCCCCATCTGCTTGCCCCTTAAAAAGGTAAAGGTAAAGGTACCCCTGCCCGTACGGGCCAGTCTTGCCAGACTCTAGGGTTGTGCGCTCATCTCACTCTATAGGCCGGGAGCCAGTGCTGTCCGGAGACACTTCCGGGTCACGTGGCCAGCGTGACATCGCTGCTCTGGCGAGCCAGAGCCGCACACGGAAACACCGTTTACCTTCCCGCTAGTAAGCGGTCCCTATTTATCTACTTGCACCCGGGGGTGCTTTCGAACTGCTAGGTTGGCAGGCGCTGGGACCGAACGACAGGAGCGCACCCCGCCGCAGGGATTCGAACCGCCGACCTTTCGATCGGCAAGTCCTAGGTGCTGAGGCTTTAACCCACAGCGCCACCTGCTTGCCCCTTACCTCCCACCTATGTGCAAAACATTTGAGGATGCTCGCTTGCCTCCCATGACCCCTCCCCACCCCCTTGCCTCTCCTAATGGCTGGCCAGCCTGCCTCCTCCCAGATGCCCTTGTTCAGACGTGCTCAGAAATGGTGCCGAAAAGGAGGAAGGCACCAACTTGCACAACATATTGTGTGTGTGTCCCCCTAAATATTTTATTGGAGGGGCAAAGGGACCAGGGCCCCATAGAGTTGGTGCCTATGACATTAGCAATGTAGACCAGGGGTCAGCAAGGTTTACCTCGCCTGGGCCGGTTCACTCCAGCAGAAATCCCTCCATGGGCCGGATTGCGGTTGCGCCCACAATTTCCGATGTCTGCACATGTGCAGACGTGATTTCTGGCACCGCGGAAGTGAGTTCTGGCACTGCGGAAGTGAGTTCCCGCACCACGCTGCGTCGGTTTAGCGCAGCGCGCACGGACTCACTGAGCGGGCAGCTTGGTTCGGGGATGGCTCATGGGCCAGTTAACAACCCTCGTGGGCCGCTTGTGGCCCATGGGCCTTAGGTTGCCTACCCCTGATGTAGACTGTACATGAACGCATACCTTTCAAGCATTCCGATTTGAGTGGAACCTCCTGGAATTATCGAAGCCATCCTTGCTTCTGGCTGGATCCTGGGATGTCCCCGTTTGGGGTCCATTGCTCTAGCACGAGTCAGCTGGCTCCCGTAAGAGCTTGGGACCAATTCCGATCACTAGGATTTTGGAGGGCATTTGAATGCGAAATGTAACAGGGTAGGGAGGACCATATGAGCCTGGTTTATCCTGATGCACAGGGATAGCTGAGGGTGAAATCACATAGTAGCTCTAAGCACATGGCGAGCTGGTTGTCTGTGATCTGGCCCTAGGATGCAGGTGGCACTGTGGTCTAAACCACTGAGCCTCTTGGGCTTCCCGATCAGAAGGTCGGTGGTTCAAATCCCCGTGACGGGGTGAGCTCCCGTTGCTCTGTCCCAGCTCCTGCCAACCTAGCAGTTCAAAAGCATGCCGGTGCAAGTAGATAAATAGGTACCGCTGTGACGGGAAGGTAAAAGGCATTTCCGTGCGCTCTGGTTTCCCGTCACGGTGTTCTGTTGCGCCAGAAGCAGTTTAGTCATGCTGGCCACATGACCCAACAAGCTGTCTATGGACAAATGCTGGCTCCCTCAGCCTGAAAGCGAAATGAGGTCCGCAACCCCATAGTCGCCTTTGACTGGACTGATCCATCCAGGAGTCCTTTATCTACCTTTACCTAGGAGCTGTGCCTCAAATAACACCTTTGACCTACAATTTGCCCCTCCACCAAGCAGACACGCTGGCTGACCTGCTTTCTAACTGCATGACCTACTTTATCGGCCGTGTTCTTCTCCCCTCACAGAGTGTCCTGCAATCATCCCACGGTGCATGTGGGGTGCCCGACCCTACAGAGGAACACCCGCGCAGCTTCAGTTGCCCCTGGGCTTCGTATACATCCACCACACTAGCACCCCTGCAAAGCCATGCCGAAGCTCCCATCGTGTGCAGCGGATATGCGCTCGATGCAGAGATTCCACCAGGATTTCCGTGGCTGGGATGACATTGGCTACAGGTAAGCACAGTCCTATTGTAATACACAGCTAGGAATGGACAGATCTGTCACCTGTTAAGAGTTGTTTTCATGGGCTTTTCATTCCATTTCTGAATTAATGTGCATTAAAAAATTCAAAACAATGCTTTCTAAACCCTATCTACGTGTGTATTTTCTCTCACCGTGCAAATCTAAAGGCAGATTCCAATCAACTCAAGCTGCGAAATAACTGTCTTGCAACCTTTGAAGAAAGTGCAGTTTCTGGTGGATAACTTAGTTCTCATTTGTGTGTTAGGATGGATCTAAACACAGGTCTAAACCACAGAGCCTAGGGGCTGCTGATTCAGGTCGGCGGTTCGAATCCCCGTGACGGGGTGAGCTCCTATTGTTCGGTCCCAGCTGCTGGCCACTTAGCAGTTCGACAGCATGTCAAAGTGCATGTAGATAAATAGGTACCACTCCAGCGGGAAGGTAAACGGTGTTTCTGTGCACTGTTCTGGTTTGCCAAGAAAGCGGCTTAGTCATACTGGTCACATGACCCGGAAGCTGTCTGCGGACAAATGCCTGCTCCCTCAGCCTATAGAGCGAGATGAGCTCGCAACCCCAGAGTCGTCCGCAATTGGAATCTAACGGTCAGAGATACCTTTAAACACAGGAAAGTAACGCTATAAATAAGCCAGAAATTACATCGTTTTAACAAAAGAAAAAAATCTCTAATGGCGTTTTTAAAATTTCCTTCTCTCTGGCGCCATCTTGTGTTGCCATGTTTATAGTGCATTCAAATCGCTATTTCTTTGCTAATGTAGGTGAGTCCTTATTCCACCCAGGGCATATCAAGGCCATTTAATTAATAAGTATGGGTGAATATCAAATTCCTCAAGCATCCCTATGTTTGAATGCACCGTAGGCCTCAGAGAAGATTTTCCCAGTGCAGAATCCTGCGAAAGGCGAATTCAGTTCTGGAAGTTGGGGTGAAATTGCAGTTAGAGGTCCTTCTCATCCAAACCGATGCCATTCTTGGATAAAATAAATAAATGAGGTCTAGTTCTCTGTGTTTCAGGTACACCACTTAACTTCAGACTGCTGGTGGGGGCTCATTTACTGGTAAATAAATAACTAAAACCCCTGCACAAAGAAAGCTAGCATCATATGGGAAAGCCAGTCTAGAACCTATTTCCAGACTTCTAATTTGTGGATATTTTTGCATGGTTGTTGAGCATTCCATCATGCCAGGTGCCTTCTCAACTATGGCCTGAAGTGAAACCTTCCAAACAAAAGTGGAGACTCTGCATGCCACACCTTTGATCGCCAACTCACCAAAATAGTTCTGTGGTAGAGCTACCCCTTACTCTGGAGCCCCTCTTCGCCACAACAATCGCCATGGACCTCGGCAAAGCCTTCTCCTCTTTCACACCAACCGAAGCCAAGGTGGCCCTGGGACAGACGGCTGCTGGGACAGCATCTCTGCACCTCTCTCAGAAATTTCACCTTGATGGGGCTCCCTCGACTCTTCCAGATGCTTCATCAAATGGTGCAATGGATGGCCTCATTCTTGGTACTCTACTTGGCAGAGAAAGCTTAGATCCCGCCATCCCAAACCTCAGTGTCCTGGCTGAAGGATTATTATAATTGTGGAGAAGGGCCTAGGAGGTGAAAGTGCGATGCAGAGCAAACTTTCCGACGAAAGAAACTTTGCAGCTCTGGTGAGCGAGGAAAAAGCTGAGGATGCAAGTAGAGGATTCTCTCCTCCCTGCTTCCGGAGGCTGAATGAAAGGCAACCCTTGTTTGATGGCCTCACAAATGAAGAACTGAGACTCTGTCGCAAACCAGGCTGTAGAAGAATTCACGGCTTTGTATGTAAGGTATGGATCACATGTGGAAAACCATATCTCCAGAACGGATTTAATTCCTGTCTCCTGTGTACTTTAGGCTGGAGAACTACACTGGCAAAATTAAAAAGAAGGGCACATTTTGAAGGAATGGGTGCGCTTTAAGTTCTCAGATTGTTTTCGAAAAGGGCAATACAGTCAGCTGTAAAATGCACACTGAATCAAATCCCCTCCCACATCCCTTGTTAGAAGGTCCTTAAATTGTAAATATACTTCTCCCTACTAGTTCTCTGTTTGATCTCCTACCCTATTCCATCCCTAAAACAAGAGATCCTCTTACTACAATAGATGGGATGCTGCCCACATGTACGTCTTTTCAAAGCCCACGGGGTTCATTTATTTAACATAATCACATCCCACTTTTCTGCTAAGACCGTTTGGGGCAAATTACACAGACTCTCATTTTGTGGAGGGGAAGGGGAAGGGTAGAGGACATGGATCTCACTGCAGACCCAGGAAAAAAAGAAGTTGGAAGGACCCCCCCCAACTCACATTTCTTCCTCCCCCCTGCATTTCTGCAGAGCACACCTTCCTCCAACGTGAGCAACTGGGAGCAGGCCTTTCCTCCCCCCCATCTGCTTGCCCCTTAAAAAGGTAAAGGTAAAGGTACCCCTGCCCGTACGGGCCAGTCTTGCCAGACTCTAGGGTTGTGCGCTCATCTCACTCTATAGGGCCGGGAGCCAGTGCTGTCCGGAGACACTTCCGGGTCACGTGGCCAAGCGTGACATCGCTGCTCTGGCGAGCCAGAGCCGCACACGGAAACACCGTTTACCTTTACCGCTAGTAAGCGGTCCCTATTTATCTACTTGCACCCGGGGTGCTTTCGAACTGCTAGGTTGGCAGGCGCTGGACCGAACGACAGGAGCGCACCCCGCCGCAGGGATTCGAACCGCCGACCTTTCGATCGGCAAGTCCTAGGTGCTGAGGCTTTAACCCACAGCGCCACCTGCTTGCCCCTTACCTCCCACCTATGTGCAAAACATTTGAGGATGCTCGCTTGCCTCCCATGACCCCTCCCCACCCCCTTGCCTCTCCTAATGGCTGGCCAGCCTGCCTCCTCCCAGATGCCCTTGTTCAGACGTGCTCAGAAATGGTGCCGAAAAGGAGGAAGGCACCAACTTGCACAACATATTGGTGTGTGTGTCCCCCTAAATATTTTATTGGAGGGGCAAAGGGACCAGGGCCCCATAGAGTTGGTGCCTATGACATTAGCAATGTAGACCAGGGGTCAGCAAGGTTTACCTCGCCTGGGCCGGTTCACTCCAGCAGAAATCCCTCCATGGGCCGGATTGCGGTTGCGCCCACAATTTCCGATGTCTGCACAGCATGAGTAGATAAATAGGCACCACTGCAGCAGGAAGGTAAATGGCTTTCCATGCACTCTGGTTTCCATCATGGTGTTCTGTTGCGCCAGAAGCGGTTTAGTCCTGCTGGCCACATGACCCGGAAAGCTGTCTGTGGACAAACACTGGCTCCCTTGGCCTGAAAGCAAGATGAGCGCTGCAACTCCATAGTCGCCTTTGACTGGACATAACTGTCCAGGGGTCCTTTACCTTTACCTTTTACTGGGTGCCTGTTTGCTGCTGTTCAGCAAGCCCAGCAAGGTCCAAACTGACAGTTCCCTGAACAAAAATATGCTCCATTGCATGTTCTGAGCAAGCCAAGCTGATGTAATACTTGCACCACAATCCTAACTGCATCTACGTGGAAGTAAGTCCCCCTGAGGGATGATAGGGCTTACTCCCAGGTAAGTGGGGCTAGTCCCTAGACCTGTATGCACTTATCTGGGAGTGAGGCCTATTTAACTCAATGGGATTCTTTTCTGGGCAGACATGTATATGATTGCGGTGGTAACTCAAATGCAGTGTTACATCTGGAGAAAGTTTGGATGTGTATGTCACTGAGGAGTAATAAGAGAAAAAAATATGTGTTGGTCAGCTGCATTCATGGACAGCTGTTGTTGCAAGGCACTTTTCAAGGAAAAGTCAAACACATGGTGCATTGCACTAATCTAATCCGGAAGTCACCAAGGTTATGTGTGACCTCATAGCAAGATCTTTCATATCCAGGAAAGAACGCTGTCTGTCACAGCTGCCTCCTGAATACCCTGAACAAAAGCCAGGTTCAAAAATAAGCTATGCACTTGACCGTTCTTTCACTAATAAAATACAATGGAAAGTTTTTTTAACAGTTCCAAGAACATTCTGCACACGTGTGTATCTCTGGACAGCTTTCTAGGTATTTGCAGATCAATTGCAGCAGAACAGGGTACCAAAAAAATCAGAACTTGTGGAACATCAGCATTTGCTTTGCAACACCATTCGAGGGTCCTTAAAAAGCCACTTTCTACAGAGCTTCTCAAGTGAAGAGGTGAAATTTGCATGTTCTGAAGACAGGCTTTGCCATTCAGGATGATGGGGGGGGGTATGAGCTGGGGATGTTGTGAACCACTGCCTTTCCTCATTGGCTCCAGCTCACATTCAGCAGTCCAGCCCCTTGACATTTATTTGTTTCTCCCCTCCACGCCTCATTGCTTCAGGTGCCAGCTGGCTCCACAATCAAAGGCTGCACTTCACCCAGCAGACGAGATGTTGCTACCATGGCTGAGCCTCATACCTGTGCTTTTCTGTGTCTCCGCGGACAGTACAGGTAAGACTCAACCAATATGCACCCAGCGCTGCGCCAGCTCTGTTCTCCCAAAGCCTCTGGGATGAGAAACAAATGAGTTTGAGAAGGACAGAAGGGAATGGGCAGGGGCCTGAATTCTGTTAGAAATCACAGGTGCCCAGGGAATCCGCTTCTAGCCCTGCCGCAAAACTTCCACTATTCTTGCATGCTTTTGCCGGATGAATAACCAGAAAGCCTCGTGAGCGCTATTTATTTCTGTTTTAATTCTCTCTCTTCACAAAGGGCATGTTCTGATAGACCTAATATGAGTCAGCCAATATGGGTACCAACAGCTGACTTGCATTAGCTGAGCAGTGTGTTAATTTTACAGTCCTGGCATCGGTTGCCAAAGGGCAGCCCAGTTCATTCAGGTGTAGGCTACAATCCTGTACCTACTTACCTGGTGGTTGCCTGATTTTCCTTTGTGCCAGCCCAGCCCTTGCCACCAACTGATTTTCCTCTGTGCCAGCCACCAACACCTCCAGGCGGGTGGGCACAGAGCCTATGCACCAGCCCAGCCCTTGCCACCAGAGCCAAGCTGGGTGCACTGTGCCATCTGCCTGCCTGTGGAGGGAGGAGACCAGCCGTCAACACAGCCCTTGATGAGTGAATACCCCCAATGCTGGCTGAGCAGCCATTCAGTGAGAGACCCCCTTGCCTGGGGGCACCTGGTTTGCGCCCCCTGAAAATTGTGTGCCCGGGGCTATGCCCCCTGACCCCCATGCCACTTTCCCCACAGAAACCTGCTCTTTAACATCTGCTTTCTCCTGTCTGCTTGCTCGCTCCAATTGTGATATTTCAATCCTGCCCTTTCCAGATTATTCGACATTGCACATGGACTCTGTGACTGGAGTTTTGGAAGACTTTGAATCCCAGCTGAGAGGGACCCCAGACCAGACTGTGACAGAGCTTTTCCGGGAGCTGGAGTGTTGCGAGGACGAGCTCTGCCAGCTTCTCCTCGGCCCGGTGACTTCGGCGCCCTCAGACGTGTCTTATTTGAGTGAGCAGCAGAGCATTTTCCTCAAAAACCTGGTGAACCACGAGGTTGACGCCTCCTTGGTAGAACATGGGGTGGTCTTGACTCCTGATGGGACTACAGTTTCGCTCAGTCCCCTTCTTGCTGGGATAGCTGCAGGGCTCCAGAGGAGCCATAAGGAGACTCTGCATGCCACACCTTTGATCGCCAACTCCACCAATAGTTCTGTGGTAGAGCTACCCCTTACTCTGGAGCCCCTCTTCGCCACAACAATCGCCATGGACCTCGGCAAAGCCTTTCTCCTCTTTCACACCAACCGAAGCCAGGTGGCCCTGGGACCAGACGGCTGCTGGGACAGCATCTCTGCACCTCAGAAATTCACCTTGATGGGGGCTCCCTCGACTCTTCCAGATGCTTTCATCAATGGTGCAATGGATGGCCTCATTCTTGGTACTTACTTGGCAGAGAAAGCAGATCCGCCATCCAACCTCAGTGTCCTGCTGAAGGATTATTATGGTGGAGAGGGCCTAGGAGGTGAAAGTGCGATGCAGAGCAACTTCCGACGAAAGAACTTTGCAGCTCTGGTGAGCGAGGAAAAGCTGAGGATGCAAGTAGAGGATTCTCTCCTCCTGCTCCGGAGGCTGAATGAAAGCAACCCCTTGTTTGATGGCCTCACAAATGAAGAACTGAGATCTGTCGCAAACCAGGCTGTAGAAGAATTCACGGCTTTGTATGTAGGTATGGATCACATGTGGAAAACCATATCTCCAGAACGGATTTATTCCTGTCTCCTGTGTACTTAGGCTGGAGAACTACACTGGCAAAATTAAAAGAAGGGCACATTTTGAAGGATGGGTGCGCTTTAGTTCTCAGATTGTTTCGAAAAGGGCAATACAGTCAGCTGTAAATGCACACTGAATCAAATCCCCTCCCACATCCCTTGTTAGAGGTCCTTAAATGTAAATATACTTCTCCCTACTAGTTCTCTGTTTGTCTCCTACCCTATTCCATCCTAAACAAGAGATCCTCTTACTACATAGATGGGATGCTGCCCACATGTACGTCTTTTCAAAGCCCACGGGGTTCATTTATTTAACATAATCACATCCCACTTTTCTGCTAAGACGTTTGGGGCAAATTACACAGACTCTCATTTTGTGGAGGGGAAGGGGAAGGGTAGAGGACATGGATCTCACTGCAGACCCAGGAAAAAAAGAAGTTGGAAGGACCCCCCCCCACTCACATTTCTTCCTCCCCCCTGCATTTCTGCAGAGCACACCTTCCTCCAACGTGAGCAACTGGGAGCAGGCCTTTCCTCCCCCCCCCATCTGCTTGCCCCTTACCTCCCACCTATGTGCAAAACATTTGAGGATGCTCGCTTGCCTCCCATGACCCCTCCCCACCCCCTTGCCTCTCCTAATGGCTGGCCAGCCTGCCTCCTCCCAGATGCCCTTGTTCAGACGTGCTCAGAAATGGTGCCGAAAAGGAGGAAGGCACCAACTTGCACAACATATTGTGTGTGTGTCCCCCTAAATATTTTATTGGAGGGGCAAAGGGACCAGGGCCCCATAGAGTTGGTGCCTATGACATTAGCAATGTAGACCAGGGGTCAGCAAGGTTTACCTCGCCTGGGCCGGTTCACTCCAGCAGAGATCCCTCCATGGGCCGGATTGCGGTTGCGCCCACAATTTCCGATGTCTGCACATGTGCAGACGTGATTTCTGGCACCGCGGAAGTGAGTTCTGGCACTGCGGAAGTGAGTTCCCGCACCACGCTGCGTCGGTTTAGCGCAGCGCGCACGGACTCACTGAGCGGGCAGCTTGGTTCGGGGATGGCTCATGGGCCAGTTAACAACCCTCGTGGGCCGCTTGTGGCCCATGGGCCTTAGGTTGCCTACCCCTGATGTAGACTGTACATGAACGCATACCTTTCAAGCATTCCGATTTGAGTGGAACCTCCTGGAATTATCGAAGCCATCCTTGCTTCTGGCTGGATCCTGGGATGTCCCCGTTTGGGGTCCATTGCTCTAGCACGAGTCAGCTGGCTCCCGTAAGAGCTTGGGACCAATTCTGATCACTAGGATGTTGGAGGGCATTTGAATGCGAAATGTAACAGGGTAGGGAGGACCATATGAGCCTGGTTTATCCTAATGCACAGGGATAGCTGAGGGTGAAATCACATAGTAGCTCTAAGCACATGGCGAGCTAATTGTCTGTGATCTGGCCCTAGGATGCAGGTGGCACTGTGGTCTAAACCACTGAGCCTCTTGGGCTTCCCGATCAGAAGGTCGGTGGTTCAAATCCCCGTGACGGGGTGAGCTCCCGTTGCTCTGTCCCAGCTCCTGCCAACCTAGCAGTTCAAAAGCATGCCGGTGCAAGTAGATAAATAGGTACCGCTGTGACGGGAAGGTAAAAGGCATTTCCGTGCGCTCTGGTTTCCGTCACGGTGTTCTGTTGCGCCAGAAGCAGTTTAGTCATGCTGGCCACATGACCCAACAAGCTGTCTATGGACAAATGCTGGCTCCCTCAGCCTGAAAGCGAAATGAGGTCCGCAACCCCATAGTCGCCTTTGACTGGACTGATCCATCCAGGAGTCCTTTATCTACCTTTACCTAGGAGCTGTGCCTCAAATAACACCTTTGACCTACAATTTGCCCCTCCACCAAGCAGACACGCTGGCTGACCTGCTTTCTAACTGCATGACCTACTTTATCGGCCGTGTTCTTCTCCCCTCACAGAGTGTCCTGCAATCATCCCACGGTGCATGTGGGGTGCCCGACCCTACAGAGGAACACCCGCGCAGCTTCAGTTGCCCCTGGGCTTCGTATACATCCACCACACTAGCACCCCTGCAAAGCCATGCCGAAGCTTCCCATCGTGTGCAGCGGATATGCGCTCGATGCAGAGATTCCACCAGGATTTCCGTGGCTGGGATGACATTGGCTACAGGTAAGCACAGTCCTATTGTAATACACAGCTAGGAATGGACAGATCTGTCACCTGTTAAGAGTTGTTTTCATGGGTTTTTCATTCCATTTCTGAATTAATGTGCATTAAAAAATTCAAAACAATGCTTTCTAAACCCCATCTACGTGTGTATTTTCTCTCACCGTGCAAATCTAAAGGCAGATTCCAATCAACTCAAGCTGCGAAATAACTGTCTTGCAACCTTTGAAGAAGTGCAGTTTCTGGTGGATAACTTAGTTCTCATTTGTGTGTTAGGATGGATCTAAACACAGGTCTAAACCACAGAGCCTAGGGGCTGCTGATCAGGTCGGCGGTTCGAATCCCCGTGACGGGGTGAGCTCCTATTGTTCGGTCCCAGCTGCTGGCCACTTAGCAGTTCGACAGCATGTCAAAGTGCATGTAGATAAATAGGTACCACTCCAGCGGGAAGGTAAATGGTGTTTCTGTGCACTGTTCTGGTTTGCCAGAAGCGGCTTAGTCATACTGGTCACATGACCCGGAAGCTGTCTGTGGACAAATGCCTGCTCCCTCAGCCTATAGAGCGAGATGAGCTCGCAACCCCAGAGTCGTCCGCAATTGGATCTAACGGTCAGAGATACCTTTAAACACAGGAAAGTAACGCTATAAATAAGCCAGAAATTACATCGTTTTAACAAAAGAAAAAATCTCTATGGCGTTTTAAAATTTCCTTCTCTCTGGCGCCATCTTGTGTTGCATGTTTATAGTGCATTCAAATCGTTATTTCTTTGCTAATGTAGGTGAGTCCTTATTCCACCCAGGGCATATCAAGGCCATTTAATTAATAAGTATGGGTGAATATCAAATTCCTCAAGCATCCCTATGTTTGATGCACCGTAGGCTCAGAGAAGATTTCCCAGTGCAGAATCCTGCAAAAGGCGAATTCAGTTCTGGAAGTTGGGGTGAAATTGCAGTTAGAGGTCCTTCTCATCCAAACCGATGCCATTCTTGGATAAAAATAAATAAATGAGGTCTAGTTCTCTGTGTTTCAGGTACACCACTAACTTCAGACTGCTGGTGGGGGCTCATTTACTGGTAAATAAATAACTAAAACCCCTGCACAAAGAAAGCTAGCATCATATGGGAAAGCCAGTCTAGAACCTATTTCCAGACTTCTAATTTGTGGATATTTTTGCATGGTTGTTGAGCATTCCATCATGCCAGGTGCCTTCTCAACTATGGCCTGAAGTGAAACCTTCCAAACAAAAGTTTATTACTACACCAAGAACTATGAAATTCCCAGATCAAGGAAAGGATCATATTCTAGTCCAGCTTCTGATCCCAAAAGCTTAATTTCACTCCTTTTGACACTGGAGTATAAGACTAGAGTTCACGGAAAAGGTGGGCTTTTTTTTCATCTGGAACTCACTGGAACTCAGTTCCAGCACTTCTCAGGTAGGAGACATTGTCATTACAGTGGTACCTCAGGTTACATACACTTCAGGTTGCATACGCTTCAGGTTACAGACTCTGCTAACCCAGAAATATTACCCCGGGTTAAGAACTTTGCTTCAGGATGAGAACAGAAAACGTGCTCCGGCGGCGCGGCGGCAGCAGGAGGCCCCATTAGCTAAAGTGGTGCTTTAGGTTAAGAACAGTTTCAGGTTAAGAACGGACCTCCTGTACTTAACCCGAGGTACCACTGTGTAAGAGAATGAGGGAGGTGTTCAGGATTAGTTCCTGCACCTCTTTTTCTAGAAAAAATAGCACTGTGGAACTGGATGAATAGCCCACCTTTCAACTGGAAAACGAGATTGCAGACTGGTTTTTGCTCTCATGTATGCAAAGCTGGAGGGACGCGGGTGGCGCTGTGGGTTAAAGCCTCAGCGCCTAGGGCTTGCCAATCGCAAGGTCGGCGGTTCGAATCCCTGCGGCGGGGTGCGCTCCCGCTGCTCGGTCCCAGCGCCTGCCAACCTAGCAGTTCGAAAGCACCCCCGGGTGCAAGTAGATAAATAGGGACCGCTTACTAGCGGGAAGGTAAACGGCGTTTCCGTGTGCGGCTCTGGCTCGCCAGAGCAGCGATGTCACGCTGGCCAAGTGTCTCCGGACAGCGCTGGCCCCCGGCCTCTTGAGTGAGATGGGCGCACAACCCTAGAGTCTGGCAAGACTGGCCCGTACGGGCAGGGGTACCTTTACCTTTACCTTTATGCAAAGCTGTGGGCAGCGTTCAAGTAGCACATCCGTCCGCACAAACATTTCTGCTTCTGCTATGGGACTTTCCTGCTGCTGCCCTTGCATGTGCCCCACACCCTCCCCAAATCTGATCCAGAGCATTGCGAAAGCCCCAGACACATATTTAGGGGACATGCAGGGGTAGGAGAGGGAGTGACTGTTCCATTGTGCAAATGGAAATCCTTGAACCGGTAATGATAATGATAAGTTTTTATATGCTATCCATCTGTCTGGGTTGCCCCAGCCGCTCTGGGTGGCTTCCAACAAATTAAACACATCAAGCACAGTAAAACATGATGATAGTCATTGTTTGGATGGGGGGCTTTTATCCATTTCCGCAGTCACACAATCAATCAGTCACAAAAACAAATCAACCGGAAAAGCCTCAAAAGCAAAAACACAAAATAAATAGCTGGGCATGTTTAGCCTGGAGAAGAGGAGGTTAAGGGGTGATATGATAGCCATGTTCAAATATATAAAAGGATGTCACATAGAGGAGGGAGAAAGGTTGTTTTCTGCTGCTCCAGAGAAGCGGACACGGAGCAGTGGATCCAAACTACAAGAAAGAAGATTCCACCTAAACATTAGGAAGAACTTCCTGACAGTAAGAGCTGTTCGACAGTGGAATTTGCTGCCAAGGAGTGTGGTGGAGTCTCCTTCTTTGGAGGTCTTTAAGCAGAGGCTTGACAACCATATGTCAGGAGTGCTCTGATGGTGTTTCCTGCTTGGCAGGGGGTTGGACTCGATGGCCCTTGTGGTCTATTCCAACTCTATGATTCTATAGCAAAAACAAAAGTGCCAAACTTAATCCATTCCGGAAGTCCGTTTAGCTTTCAAAATGTTCAAAAACCAAGGTGCAGCTTCTGATCGGTGCAGGTGCCCCGGAAACAAAAGTTGACAGCTGCATTGGTCATTCGGCTTCCGAAAATCGTTCGAAAACTGGAACACTTACTTCCGGGTTTTCGGTGTTTGAGAACCAAGGTACCACAGTATATATATACAGTCATACCTCGGGTTAAATGAGCATTTTCAAGTTACGCTCCACAGCAACCGGGAAGTAATGGAGCGTGTTACTTCTGGGTTTCACTGCTTGCGCATGCGCAGACGCTCAAAATGACTTCACACGCGTGCGCAAAAGCGGAAAATGCGACCCGCGCATGCGCAAGTGCGCAGTCGCATCTTACATTCTATTCAGGATGCGAATGGGGCTCCAGAACGGATCCTGTTCGCATCCAGAGGTACCACTGTATAGAGAGAGAGAATGACAGCAAGGCTGAGCTCCTTGGTAAGACAATACTTACCGTATTTTCTATCCTTGCACAGCTATGTTGCCGGAGGTGATGGATACATCTACCAGGGGAGAGGCTGGCACTGGGTAGGAGCGCACACACGGAGCTACAACACCAAAGGCTATGGCATCAGCTTCATCGGGGACTACATGGAGGCACTGCCAGATGCCCAAAGCATGGAACTGGTGAAGAACAATTTCATAAAGTGTGCTGTGAGGGGCTCCAAGCTGCAAGCCAACTACACCATCCACGGGCACCGCCAGATGGGGAACACCCTATGCCCGGGAGACAGACTCTTCAAAGAGATTCAAACCTGGAAAGGTTTCGCAGAGAGGTGCTTTACAGACAAGGGTGTTCGTCGCTGCATCTGACGTAGAGCTTCCTGATGTTGTTTCCTGATGTGAGAGTCTTCAAGAACCCATCATCCCGCAGACTGGGGGAAGAGTGCCGTCAGTGCCCAAGTCCAACACCAGGGGGCGGCTGTTCAACACCTGCAAGGAAGCCAGGGCTGAATTCAAAATCCTTAAGCAAAATAAATTATGGCAGTCATACACACAATACTTTGATTTGAAAATCTGGGGAACGCAAATATAAGATCCATGGGACTATGGTGGGGGCAGTGGTGTGGAAGAAAGGGACTGAAAATAATGAAGGAATGCAGCTGGAGGTGAACTAGAGAAATCTGTCCAAGAATTACACAGCCAGCCCACTGTGTGCCTCTGCCCCTGTATGCAAGGGCAAAGATACAGAATAGAGATACAGAGCCACTGAAAAAAGGCACTTTCATGTGCAAATTTTATGTTTTCCTTAATGATAACAAAATGCCGTCCCAAATCAGAGCAGGGCAATACCATGCTATATCCAAAGGCAGATTTCGGGGAGGCGAGACCCTGCAACTATGACATCCAATGAAAGGAAAGAGGTGGGAGAGGATGCCAGATTTTGGCATCGCCCAGGGTGCCACTGAAATTTGAGCTCTGCCACAGCTATATCATCTGCCCTGGACCTGAAAGCCATAGGGGGAGATTGCACCATTCACATCTAGCTACATGTAAGATGACCGTTGTTATAAAAAGAATATGTTTAATTCCCTTATGGGGTATCTAGAGCCCGTATAGAGTCCCTCATGAGATTTCGATCGGTCGGAGAAAATAAGAGGCCAATTGTTAATTGAAAGCAAAGCAGCTAGTAAGCCTGATCTTTATTAAAGGAAATAAACTGTTGCAACAGGGTCCCCACTCACCACATGCAGGAGGGAGAACCATGAACAATGGTGCACAAGACCCTATAAAGACTTTTGAAATTGCCCACCCTGTAGCCCAAGACCAACCCCCAAAACATCATACATACATCACAGAAGGAGGTGGTCTCTGACAGAAATTTGAGGGTGTTGCTTCTCTCCCCTCTGCCAGGATACCTGATAATGCCTTATCTGATTACCTTTTCTGGGTAGCCTGGCCATTCCTTTGAGATGATAGATATTGATAGTTTGCTCAGCTTAACAGATACGGTACTTGCCTGACTGTATTTGAAAAGAGAGGTATAAGCCCCTACAGTCCAAAGACAAGTGGAAAGCTTTTCCTATTGCCTTCCTCCTTGCAGAGAAATATTTGAGGTCCATTTGGGAGAGTCAAAATGGCTTCAGGATTGCTCTCCTGTACTATTTCAGACACGTGGTTCATATACTTATGTATGTGTTTGCCTTGTACATTTATGAACATTTATTCTAATTTTGAGACCTTTGAATTCTTATAACACTGTGTCTACGTGGTTTCTTCATAGCTACCAAGTTAGCAACAGCAGCTGTAATAATTGTTCTCATATTAGCTTCTCTGGCCCATCTGCACTGGACATTTAACGCAGTATCATATCACATGAAGCAGTCATGGCTCCCCCCTCAAAAAGAAAAAAATTCTGGGAACTATAGCTTGTTAAGGAAGCTGAGAGCTGTTAGGGGAGCCCTTTTCCCCTCACAGAGCTACAGTTCCCAGAGTTCCCTGGGAAGAGTGATTGACTGCTAAGCCACTCCGTGTAGTTAAATCTATAATGTGGTTAGGGTCTCTGTGTGGCTCTGTCTAGATTATGAAAATCAACATTGCAAGTGCTTTCATGTCCAAAACAAAGTAAGACATCCTCATTCTATGTGATAAGTATGCATATTCTCCCACAGTGGACCACAGAAAAGGCATTGTCACCCCACAGAAGAAAATACCCCACAACAATACAGAGTTCTGCAGAAAAATGCGAACCTTTTCAACATTATTGAGGTCATGTGTTTAGCAGCTGTGTTTTTAAAATAAACAGCACACCGTTTTTGTAAAATAGGATTGAATTGTCTAAATAGTTCAGTTGTCTAATCTTTGAGTGAAATGGGTTCTACTTCTTGGAAAAACATCAGCTTTCTGATGGACAAGGTGGGCAAAGATACCAAATTAAAAGCTGTCTTCTTAGGGCCGCTGAAAATGCTGTGTAGATCTTGCAAGGGCTTTCATATTTGCAAACTGCTGATGAAGTCAATCAGCCCAGTTAGGTTAATAATCTCTGTGCCAACAGTTGCCAGGGAAGTATCTGCTTTGTGATGTAAGCTTGAGCCAAAATGTTGCTATGGAAACTAATTCACTAAAGATGCTTCAGGAAAGGGAGCAGAAAAAGGCACAACTTCCTCCCTTGACCCTGTCTGAAGTGTCTGCGTCCTTGAGGGAGAAAACCAGGCCGTTCTGGGACTGGTGCTGGAAAAGACAATAAGGCCTAACTTGCCCTCTGTGAGAACCAAACACTGACGGTTTGGGTGATGCCCCTAGAACCCTCCCTAATGGGGTCCCTGCTGGAGTGTAATGTTGGCAACCCTTCCATCTTCTGTTCAGCCTGAATATACATGTAAAATAAGCCTTGGACCATAGAAAAAGACACCAGTCTCCAGGAAACCTTCAACCCAAGGACGCCAGATGGAAGGTACGTTCCGAAAGACTTGGTCTGCTCATAGCCTGGGGTGTGGAGAATGAAAAGATATTTAGAAAAATGGTTGACTAGTCCAGTGAAATAACTTGCCCAGGATGCTGCCAATGATACGAAAGGCTGCCTCCATTCCTATCACTCTTTTCAGGGGTTATTATCTGCATGGGGGCAGGCTCTTGTGTTAGTTCTACCCACCATCAAACATGGGGGGGGGGCGGGATGGAGGGCAGGAGGTGGGGGAGACAGGGCTTTCTGTATGGCAGCCCCTACATAGCGGAACTCCCTCCCCATGGAGATTTCCCTCCCTGCTGAAGATTTCATCTTTTTTTGTAACCCCGACATTTCTGTTGCACTCATCTCCTTTTGCTGAAATTTATACTGTTCTCTATCCAGAACAGTTTTACTGGGGAAGTGCCCAGAGTGGCCTAGGGAAGTCCAGCCAGATGGGCAGGATATTATTATTATTATTATTATTATTATTATTATTATTATTATTATTATTAGCACCACAGAGGGTTGGACTAGATGATCCCTGGGTTCCCTTTCTAACTCTGGGCTTCTTTTATCTATTTTTATAATGGTATGCTATATAGCTGTCACCCACCCTGGGACCTTCTTGTGAAGGGCAGGTAAGAAATCTTACAGATAAAATAAAAGGGAAGAAGTGTGTGCAAACTTAGGCTGGGACGTAGGCTTCCCGGGCCTCAGGTTCCAGTAAGGTCTCCAGCGCTTCTTGTGGGATGCCAGCATCCAACTAAGGAGGGGGGAAGGCATGCAGCAGGAGGGAGACGCTGGATGTGGTGCAGATGATGGAGACCGCCTCCCCAAAGTTGGACAAAGAGAGCAAATTGGACCTTGGGGGAGACAGACTCACAGCTGGGAAGACTTGGCAGACACATGCAAGAAATGGGGGGTGGGCAGGGGGGAAAAGCAGAAATCTGGCCAACCCTGAAGGCCAGCAGCCCCATCCCCTTTGCTCCCATCCCCAATTATAAGCCCATTTCATGAGGGGAACTGGGAGGCCTGAAAGATGAAGCATGGCCGGGGCAAGACTTTATTTGGAGGTGTGCATAGTTGCAGAGCAGCTGCCGTCTTGAATCCTACGGAAACTCCATGTGCCCCAATGGCCATGATGTACAAGCCTTGCCAGGATGTTTCCCAGGTGGTGCTGAGCCCAGCTGCAGCCAACCCACCAAGAAACCCATCCTGTTGAGGACAATTTGGTCTTGGGCAGCAGGGCCCGTGACATCCCCTATGGCGGGCAAAAGTTAAAAGTGTTCTGTCAGAACGACAAAACCTCTGGAACGACTGAGGCACCTTCAAATGTGTAGTGTCATTTGTTGGCCGAGATCAGTCGTTTTCAAAAGTAGGCACACCTTGAACGAGGAGGCCTTCACCCCGATATGGCTTCCCTGTATCACATATGATGGTAGTCCCACTGCAACTGGTACAGATGTGAAGCCTTTTCTATCTGCGGTAAATTTGTCTGTGAAAGAAATAGTTCTGCATCTTGCTAGAGAGATTGAGAATCTTAAGTTCCTCTTATCCTTTTTCCTTTTTTTGATTATAGATCACTTTTTCCAGATTCATTTCTCTTTTTTTAACATTTCAGTTTAGTATTGGTTATAAATGAGGGGCAATATCTCCTTTTCAAGGGGAATTAAGCATAATAAGTTTGTGTTGTGGTTTATCTGGGTCTGGGGTAACTTTTGTTTCTGCTTGTCATACTTTTGTATTGTAAAAATTTGGCCATATCTGCGCTACACATGTAAAGGTCTAGGATACCATTTTTGAATTATGGGAATGGGGCTCTCTCAGAGTGAACCCCCCCACCTTCCAGCTCTCATTCCCCACCCCAGGGTGTGGGGGGCATCATTCGAAGCCACCGTAGCCTCATACTCCTTCCCATATTGGAGGCAGCCTAGCTTACCTCAGAGGGTTATTGCGAGGATAATTTGGACAGGGAAAGCACACCATGTACAGTATACCACCTTGAGTTCCTTGCAGGAAATGTGGGGTTTTCAAGTGAAAGTAGATCACCAAGGAAGACCCCCAGAAAGTACAAACGTGTTTCTGAAAGCTCCCTAGAGGTGGTGAGTTAGCCAGGTGGAGAGAGGTGTAGCCCACACCCTAAAATGAAAAGGCAAGAACTTTCCAACCACTGGAACACAATGACTAAAGGAGGAAGATGTGGCCAGACAACACCTTGGGCAGGGAGGTGAGTTTTCATGAGGTGGTAGAAACTGGATCACAATCAGGGCCCACTTTATTCCCTTTGAATCCCATAGGGATGCGAGGCTGGGGGTAGGAAACTGTCAGGAAAGCCCAGATCCAGCTGTTCTAGCCCTCCTTGTGAGGGGTAAATTAAAGGGCAGGGCAGGTGCTTGGAAGCTGGATGAAGATACCAAGTGTTGACATGGGCCTGAGATGGAGAGAGAGAGAGAGAGAGAGAGAGAGAGCCCACAGTCCATTGGGCGAGGCCCTGGCCAAGATCTGACTTCACAATGGGCGGCAGAATGTTTTGTTTCCCAGGAAACCAGGTGAGTTGTTTGAAAGGATCCTGAGATCAGTTAAAAGCTCATTCAACTGTCTCCCTCAGATCATTTGACACCAGAGATGCCTTTTTGCTTTAGAGAACTGTCTTTTTTGGATCAGTTGGCATCAGAAACATGTGTCTCCTTCAGACAACTCTCTTTATCTCAGTTGAAAGCCCAGAGAATGGTCTTCTGCCTCCCCTGCTGCCACAGAAGGTAAGGTAAGCGGGGAAGAGGGGAGACATTCTGAAGCCTTGTTCTTCTCCCCCCACCCCGTGGGCAGTTTTTAAAGATGCTCCTTGAGCTTATTTGACCTTCATAAATCCCATGCTCCCAGGGAGTGTTCTGGTTAATTTTCTGAGTTTTTCATCTGTCTCCATCCAAATGGCAGGAGAATTACCACCCCCCCCAAAAAAATCAGTAAAAATCCTCCCCCTGCCCCCAATTTCACCATTCACAACTAGGAATTTTTAGGAGCTCATTTTTCACACAGCCCTAAAATACACCCCCCACCTCTGCAGGGCTCACACCTGCACCCTTAAGTATTCCCTCCATCGGGAGACATTCTGAAGTGCCAAAATCGCCTCAAAATGTGTGGCTGGTGGACACAATCTGCAAGGAGGAGGAGGAGGCCCTCCCCTGCGTCTGGAGAGCTTACTCTCATTTACTTGGCACCTAAAGGTGTACAATGAAGGCACCAGGTGAGCCTCACTTGAGAAAATAAAACTCCTTTTATAAAACTTCTTCCTGTTCTTGGTGCCCGCTTGTGGACCCAGAAACATGGCACCTCTTCCCTCAGCCCTTTTCTTGGAAATGCAGGCAGGGCACTGCAAGAAAGAGGGAGAGAGGCAATGTCTTCTGCTCTGAATCTCACTGTGTGTGTGTGTTGGGGGGCAGGCGGGGGGCAGAGAGAGTTAAAGGCCAAAGGCCTGGTTATAGGAGAAACCTTTTCACCTGGTGCCTAAAAACATATGGTGATCGTGCTAGTTCAACTATACAACTGTGAAGCCTTTTCTATCTTGGTAACACGATAATTTGTCTGTGAAAGAAAGAGTTCTGTGTCTTGTCAGGGAGACTGAGAATCTTAAGTTCCTCTTACACTTTTATCCTTTTTTTTTTGTTATAGATCACTTTTTCCAGATTCATTTCTTTTTTTAACATTTCAGTTTAATATTTGTTATAAATGAGGAGCAATATCTCCTTTTCAAGGAGAATTAAGCACAATAAGTTTGTGTTGTAGTTTATCTGGGTCTGGGGTAACTTCTGTTTCTGCTTGTCATACTTTTGTATTGTAAAAATTTGGCCATATCTGCGCTACACATGTAAAGGTCTAGGATACCATTTTTGAATTATGGGAATGGGGCTCTCTCAGAGTGAACCCCCCCACCTTCCAGCTCTCATTCCCCACCCCAGGGTGTGGGGGGCATCATTCGAAGCCACCGTAGCCTCATACTCCTTCCCATATTGGAGGCAGCCTAGCTTACCTCAGAGGGTTATTGCGAGGATAATTTGGACAGGGAAAGCACACCATGTACAGTATACCACCTTGAGTTCCTTGCAGGAAATGTGGGGTTTTCAAGTGAAAGTAGATCACCAAGGAAGACCCCCAGAAAGTACAAACGTGTTTCTGAAAGCTCCCTAGAGGTGGTGAGTTAGCCAGGTGGAGAGAGGTGTAGCCCACACCCTAAAATGAAAAGGCAAGAACTTTCCAACCACTGGAACACAATGACTAAAGGAGGAAGATGTGGCCAGACAACACCTTGGGCAGGGAGGTGAGTTTTCATGAGGTGGTAGAAACTGGATCACAATCAGGGCCCACTTTATTCCCTTTGAATCCCATAGGGATGCGAGGCTGGGGGTAGGAAACTGTCAGGAAAGCCCAGATCCAGCTGTTCTAGCCCTCCTTGTGAGGGGTAAATTAAAGGGCAGGGCAGGTGCTTGGAAGCTGGATGAAGATACCAAGTGTTGACATGGGCCTGAGATGGAGAGAGAGAGAGAGAGAGAGAGAGAGCCCACAGTCCATTGGGCGAGGCCCTGGCCAAGATCTGACTTCACAATGGGCGGCAGAATGTTTTGTTTCCCAGGAAACCAGGTGAGTTGTTTGAAAGGATCCTGAGATCAGTTAAAAGCTCATTCAACTGTCTCCCTCAGATCATTTGACACCAGAGATGCCTTTTTGCTTTAGAGAACTGTCTTTTTTGGATCAGTTGGCATCAGAAACATGTGTCTCCTTCAGACAACTCTCTTTATCTCAGTTGAAAGCCCAGAGAATGGTCTTCTGCCTCCCCTGCTGCCACAGAAGGTAAGGTAAGCGGGGAAGAGGGGAGACATTCTGAAGCCTTGTTCTTCTCCCCCCACCCCGTGGGCAGTTTTTAAAGATGCTCCTTGAGCTTATTTGACCTTCATAAATCCCATGCTCCCAGGGAGTGTTCTGGTTAATTTTCTGAGTTTTTCATCTGTCTCCATCCAAATGGCAGGAGAATTACCACCCCCCCCCAAAAAAATCAGTAAAATCCTCCCCCTGCCCCCAATTTCACCATTCACAACTAGGAATTTTTAGGAGCTCATTTTTCACACAGCCCTAAAATACACCCCCCCACCTCTGCAGGGCTCACACCTGCACCCTTAAGTATTCCCTCCATCGGGAGACATTCTGAAGTGCCAAAATCGCCTCAAAATGTGTGGCTGGTGGACACAATCTGCAAGGAGGAGGAGGAGGCCCTCCCCTGCGTCTGGAGAGCTTACTCTCATTTACTTGGCACCTAAAGGTGTACAATGAAGGCACCAGGTGAGCCTCACTTGAGAAAATAAAACTCCTTTTATAAAACTTCTTCCTGTTCTTGGTGCCCGCTTGTGGACCCAGAAACATGGCACCTCTTCCCTCAGCCCTTTTCTTGGAAATGCAGGCAGGGCACTGCAAGAAAGAGGGAGAGAGGCAATGTCTTCTGCTCTGAATCTCACTGTGTGTGTGTGTTGGGGGGCAGGCGGGGGGCAGAGAGAGTTAAAGGCCAAAGGCCTGGTTATAGGAGAAACCTTTTCACCTGGTGCCTAAAAACATATGGTGATCGTGCTAGTTCAACTATACAACTGTGAAGCCTTTTCTATCTTGGTAACACGATAATTTGTCTGTGAAAGAAAGAGTTCTGTGTCTTGTCAGGGAGACTGAGAATCTTAAGTTCCTCTTACACTTTTATCCTTTTTTTTTTGTTATAGATCACTTTTTCCAGATTCATTTCTTTTTTTAACATTTCAGTTTAATATTTGTTATAAATGAGGAGCAATATCTCCTTTTCAAGGAGAATTAAGCACAATAAGTTTGTGTTGTAGTTTATCTGGGTCTGGGGTAACTTCTGTTTCTGCTTGTCATACTTTCGTATTGTAAAAATTTGGCCATATCTGTGCTACACATGTAAAGGTCTAGGATACCATTTTTGAATTATGGGAATGGGGCTCTCTCAGAGTGAACCCCGCCACCTTCCAGCTCTCATTCCCCACCCCAGGGTGTGGGGGGCATCATTCGAAGCCACCGTAGCCTCATACTCCTTCCCGTATTGGAGGCAGCCTAGCTTACCTCAGAGGGTTCTTGTGAGGATAAGTTGGACAGGGAAAGCACACCATGTATACCACCTTGAGTTCCTTGGAGGAAAGGTGGGGTTTTCAAGTGAAAGTAAATCACCAAGGAAGACCCCCTGAAAGTACAAATGTGTTTCTGAAAGCTGCCTAGAGGTGGTGAGTTAGCCAGGTGGAGAGAGAAGGTGTAGCCCACACCCTAAAATGAAAAGGCAAGAACTTTCAAACCACTGGAACACAATGACTAAAGGAGGAAGATGTGGCAAGACAACATCTTGGGCAGGGAGGTGCGTTTTCATGAGGTGGTGGAAACTGGATCACAGTCAGGGCCCACTTTATTCCCTTTGATTCCCACAGCGATGTGAGGCTGGGGGTCCAAAACTATAAGGGAAGCCCAGATCCAGCTGCCCTGGCCCTCCTGGTGAGGGGTAAATCAAGGGGCAGGCCAGGTGCTTGGAAGCTGGATGAAGATACCAAGTATTGACATGGGCCTGAGATGGAGGGAGAGAGAGAGAGAGAGAGAGAGAGAGAGAGAGAGAGAGCCCACAGTCCATTGGGCAAGGCCCTGGCCAAGATTTGACTTCACAATGGGCTGCAGAATGTTTTGTTTCCCAGGAAACCAGGTGAGTTATTTGAAAGGATCCTGAGATCAGTTAAAAGCTCACTCAACTGTCTCCTTCAGATCAGTTGACATGGCAGATGTCTGTCTGCTTCAGAGAACTGTCTTTTTTGGATCAGTTGGCATCAGAAACATCTGTCTCCTTCAGACAACTATCTTTGGCTCAGTTGAAAGCCCAGAGAATGGTCTTCTGCCTCCCCTGCTGCCACAGAAGGTCAGGTAAGTGCAGAAGAGGGGAGACATTCTGAAGCCTTGTTCTTCTCCCCCCACCCCATGGGCAGTTTTTAAAGATGCTCCTTGGTTTTTTGACCTTCATAAATCCCATGCTCCCAGGGAGTGTTCTGGTTAATTTTCTGAGTTTTTCATTTGTCTCCATCCAAATGGCAGGAGAATTACCACCCCCCCCAAAAAATCAGTAAAATCCTCCCCCACCCCCAATTTTACCACCCACAAATAGGAATTTCTAGGAGCTCATTTTTCACTCAGCCCTAAAATACACCCCCCACCTCTGCAGGGCTCACACCTGCACCCTTAAGTATTCCCTCCATCGGGTGCATTTCCAGCATCTTGAATTAGTTTCTCAACCCCCAACTCCTATCTGGGGGATGTAAAGGTGCAGTCAAATACAACATACTGACAGAGGACTAACGGCCTCCATGTTCTAACCGGTTGCTGTGACAACCAGTTTGTCAGTTGCTGGTAGTTTTGAAAAATAACTGCTCAGTTGCAGTCACCTCAGGACCAACTTCCCTCTAGTATAGTTTATTTGCTTGTTATGTGACCTAAGCCTGCCTTCAGGTGCAGTTCTGTAAACCTGAATGAATCTGAGAGTAAAATAGTTTTATATTAACATGAATCAGATTCGACTGTGTATTCTTTAAAAGGTATTCAAAGGGATTTTTAACCAGGAAGGCATCTTTAGTAGTCGAACTCAGGCGACTCAGCAACAAGTTTATCGCTGCATAAACTTATAAAGGGGATTGTTTAACTCTGCTAAAGTAAACCTTCCCACAGCCCTAGATAGCAGATCCGGGATGTCAGATATCATGGAGTAGGGGGAGGAGGGCAGTTGGAATCTAGCAGCAACATCTGGAGGGTTTGGACACATAAAACAAGGTGATTTATCATCATAACATTGGGTCAGGTGAGGGGTAAATCAAGGGGCAGGCCAGGTGCTTGGAAGCTGGATGAAGATACCAAGTGTTGATATGGGCCTGAGAGGGAGAGAGAGAGAGCCCACAGTCCATTGGGCAAGGCCTTGGCCAAGATCTGACTTCACAATGGGCTGCGGAATGTTTTGTTTCCCAGGAAACCAGGTGAGTTGTTTGAACGGATCCTGAGATCAGTTAAGAGCTCATTCAACTGTCTCCTTCAGATCAGCTGACACCAGAGATGTCTTTCTGCTTTAGAGAACTGTCTTTTTTGAATCAGTTGGCATCGGAAACATCTGTCTACTTCGGACAACTATCTTTGGCTCAGTTGAAAGCCCAGAGAATGGTCTTCTGCCTCCCCTGCTGCCACAGAAGGTAAGGTAAGCGGGGAAGAGGGGAGACATTCTGAAGCCTTGTTTTTCTCCCCCCACCCCATGGGCAGTTTTTAAAGATGCTCCTTGGTTTTTTGAACTTCATAAATTTCATGTTCCCAGGGGGTGTTCTGGTTATTTTTCTGAGGTTTTTTGGTTTGTCTCCATCCAAATGGCAGGAGAATTACCACCTCCCTGCCCCCCCCCCAATCAGTAACATGCTGTCCAGGCTGGCAAAGGGTCATTGCTCAGTAGTGGAGCCTGTGTTTTTGCATGCAAAATCCCTGATGCCATTTCCAGGCAGGGCTGGGAAGGCCCCCTAGAGAGCTGCTTCTGCCAGTCAGTGTAAACCATAGGGAGCTAGATGTGCTAATGTGGTTTGAGTCAGTAGAAGACAGCTTCCTGTGTTCTCATTTAAATCAGCCCTTTGGGACTGTGAGGACTAGAATCTTATATTGTATTTAGGCAGGGGAGAAATTAGGCTTTATTTTCCCCAGGTCAAAGACCCAGTTTAGCACCTCGCCCCCAGGGACATAGGGCTGGGAAGGAAGACTCCTGCCTGAGGCCCTGGAGAGCCACCTTCCAGTCAGCGTGGAGGTGCACCAATGATCTTACTGGACAAAGCAGCTCCTTAAGGCCCCACCAAGGGTGACTCTTTGGGCATCGCTCCCAGTCCAGGAAGAGAGCGGGATCCACCTCTCCTTGAAAGGCAGAACCCAACTCTTCCTTAAAAACAAAACCTACTTGTAATGTGTTCTAGGGGTTGCTCGTATGCAAGCAGGCAACTATCAGACAGTTGGAAATCGCAGAGTCAGGAGAAATTGAAGGATAAAGTGCGAGACTGGTTACATTACGCTCAGATCAAGGAAATTTTTAAAAATGACAAGAAGCTAGGGTTCCAGGTGGAGAAATCGAAATTAGAAACAGAACTGTTAGAACCAAAGACTAAGGTACTTTCTAGAATGTATAACTTGCTGCTAAAATGGAACACTCAAGATGAAATGGTTAAATCTGCTATGATAAGGTGGGCGCAGGATATTGGGTATAACATCATGTTTGAGGACTGGGAAAGGCTATGGACTACTGGGTTGAACTTTACTGCATGTAATGTTTTGAAAGAAAATATAATGAAAATGATTTACAGATGGTACATGACCCCAGTCAAACTGGCAAAAATATACCACCTGTCTGATAATAAATGTTGGAAGTGTAAAGAAAGTGAAGGAACATTCTTCCACCTCTGGTGGACATGCCCTAAAGTGAAGGCCTTCTGGGAAATGATATACAATGAACTGAAAAAGGTATTTAAGTATACCTTCACTAAGAAACCAGAGGCCTTCCTCCTGGGCATTGTCGGCCAAGGGGTGGTAAAGAAGGACCGAACATTTTTTATGTATGCAACAACAGCAGCAAGGATACTCCTAGCGAAGCATTGGAAAACTCAAGATTTCCCCACATTGGAAGACTGGCAGATGCAACTGATAGACTATATGGAACTGGCCGAGATGACAGGCAGAATCCGAGACCTGGGAGAAGAGAGGATGGAAGAAGACTGGAAGAAATTTAAAATTTATTTACAAAAACATTGTAATCTGATTGAATGTCAAGCAGGTTGCTAAATCATAAAGAATTGGGCACCACTAAATTAGATAGAATTAGGAAGACAAGTGAGATTAAGAAAATGTGAACTATTTAGGAACTATCAGATTATAAAGTAAGTTTGAGGGTGTATAATGTAAATAAGAGGATAATTTGCTGGAAATTTTTTTTTCTTATGATGAAAATGGGAGCGGGAGATGAGAGGAAGTCCAGAGAAGTTGTGAAAATATGTTATGACTGATATTTTATTGTGAACCAATTATGTATGCATATTGAAAACTTTAATAAACATTTAATTAAAAACAAAACAAAAAACAAGCAGGCAACTATCTCCCTGGCTGGGTGCAAACACCTGGCTGGGCTGCCAAAGTAAACCTTGTCTGTCCGGACTGCCACTCACCCGTGGCTGACTCAGTCGCTGCCAGAATCCGTCAGTGGGCGTTTCTTAAACTTCTTCCAGCAAAGAAGCTCTTTGACGCCCAGTCTCCTCCTACTCTCTCTGTGTGGGAGCCTTCTGCGCAGAGAGGGCGTTGGCAACGGAGGACCCCTACTCTCCCCGCGGGTCCCAGGCAAGGAGTCATGGGACCGCCTCGCCACTTCAGCCTCCTGCCCCCCCTCCACTGGTGCTACGCTGATTTCCTCCCCCAGAAGATGGGCTGCTTCTCTCGATCCCTGGACGCTCTCTATGATCCCTCTGGCTTTTGCTCTCTCCCTCCGGCACGGATGGCAGTTCCCTGACACTACTTTAGCTGTGTTGTTTCCAAACTCTGGTGGGATTTGGCGTCTATCTGATGTTCCTCCCCTTTCTGCCTTCTTTGTGCACAGCTGTTTATGATGGAGGCCTCTCACCTGCGGTTCCTGCACATCCCAACTGTCCTTCCCCAACCTTGGAGAGTTTCTAAAGATCCCAAATAAGGCTGCTTCTCTTGCTCAACTGGAGACCCTCCAGACTGTTGTGCAGGCCATCGCCTTGTCGTGGGTCCCTCTTCCCAGCTCATAGGCCTCGCTCAGGAGGACAATTGGAGGACAGCAGCAGATGAGCCCTGCAGCAACTGGATCATGCCTAAGGAACCCTGCTAGAGTGGCAGTCTGTTCTCAAAAGGGCCTACAAGCAGCATGGCAAGAGGCCAATGATAAAAAGGGAGACCATAAAACCACGTTTCCTCGTTCAAAGGTGGAAAACTGCACAGGCCAGTCCTGGTGTGTAGACTCTTCCTCCATCTTGTCTCTCTTCAGATCCACAAGTGCTCTACCACTTCGTCGGCACTTCAGAAGTGGCACCCCAGGTATATAAGTTGGTGGCATCCAGCCCTTCTGAAAGGAGGCAGGGGCTTAAGCCACAAATGGATCAGATTTGGAGCCAGACTATTCTGTCTGTGGCACATTCATCCTCCACTTCCCTGCTTTTTCAGTCATGGATGTTTCTTGCTAATCGGCTGCTTGCTGTCCAGCTGTGGGTGAAGCTTGACAAGATGCCTCCAGTCTGAGTTTGGGAAGGTTTTGAAGCTCCCACCACAGTCCTCCACCAAGAGAAGTGGACAGCAGCTACCCCATAAGAAGGGAGCAGCCCCCCCAAGAGACAAGAGCATCTCTATACTCCCAGAGTATCTGTTTCTTTAAAATATATGAGCATTTTTTTCTTTTCTTTTATTAATATTTTCATTTATTTTCCAAATTACAGTAACAACAATAAAACAACAAATTGTCCAACAACAAACAACAAAAACTTGTCCTGGTATTTGTACAGACTTGTATCATTATAATAAAGTTTCATTGAATTATTCCAAAAGGTCTCATTTAGTGGTTTCCTTCAGTGATCTAAACCATTGTTTCTCAACCTTGGGCCTTCATCATCCCTGACCACTGGTCCTACTAGCTAGGGATGAAGGGTGTTGTAGTTCAAAAACAGCTGGAGGCCCAAGGTTGAGAAACACTGATCTAAACAATTCATATATTTAATAAACATTTGCCATGTATCATAACACGAAAATTTATTGTGTTTGCCTCTAGTTGCTTGGACCTAAGTCAGCTTCTCAGCCAGTACTATTGACTACACTCTAGCATACCAAGGTTCAGTGTTCAGATCCTTCCCTTTCTTCCAGGATCTGGGTAATCTGTATCCATGCAGGTGTTAACAGAAATGTTAGAAGCTCATTATTTGGCTAACCTTGAGTGATCAAGAGTCTTAATTCCTAGCAGCACCAGTGCAGCAGACAATTTAACCATCATGTTACATACCAAGTTAATTTTAAAAAAATACATTGCTCCAGAAAGTTTTAATGTTATTGAGGTGCCACCACATATGAATACAAGTACCTTTAACAGCACATTTCCTCCAACAATTGGGGCTAAATTCTTTAGCTATCCGGGATAGCCTTATTGGTACATAATGCCACCTATGCAATTACTTTAATGAAGACTCCCAGGTTATGACAGGAACTGATTTCAATGTCAGGCTACAAGGCAGGCTATTTTTCATTAGGTATGTGAATTTCTATGGGACGCGGGTGGCGCTGTGGGTTAAACCACAGAGCCTAGGACTTGCCGATCAGAAGGTCGGCGGTTCGAATCCCCGCGACGGGATGAGCTCCCGTTGCTCGGTCCCAGCTCCTGCCAACCTAGCAGTTCGAAAGCACGTCAAAGTGCAAGTAGATAAATAGGTACCACTTCAGCGGGAAGGTAAATGGTGTTTCCGTGTGCTGCTCTGGTTTGCCAGAAGCGGCTTAGTCATGCTGGCCACATGACCCAGAAGCTATATGCCGGCTCCCTCGGCCAATAAAGCGAGATGAGCTCCGCAACCCCAGAGTCGGTCACGACTGAACCTAATGGTCAGGGGTCCCTTTACCTTTATGTGAATTTCTAGGTCCATTGCCCAGGACGTTCTTGCACTTACAAAATTGCCATATTCAGGGGCTATTAAAGGTAAAGGTACCCCTGCCCGTACGGACCAGTCTTGACAGACTCTAGGGTTGTGCACCCATCTCACTCAAGAGGCCGGGGGCCAGTGCTGTCCGGAGACACTTCCGGGTCATGTGGCCAGCGTGACATCGCTGCTCTGGGGCTATTAGCACTCTGTAAATTGAAGATGCTATCTCCTTAAACAATTGGAAAGTTAACAAAAATGTGTTCTAACATTGTCAGATACCTGTATGCCTGGACAGAGAGATCTGATTTTAAAAGCAATCCTAACAGCTGGTTAAGGTGATACCACAACCATCTGAGATTTTGTAGACTGACAAGGAAAAGTTCACTCCATGTGGGAATGCCATTTACATTAGAATATTTTTAAAGTAGAGTCTGTTCCCAACTGCTCCAATCTGGCCATGCCCCCCGCCTCCTGAAAAGAAAGGGTGCGAGGGGTGAGAAGAGAGATCAGCGGGACTAGTTTAAAAAACTTTTGATTTC